CGACTTGGCAATGCGTGTAGGCAGTCCAATGAATCACAACGTGTCCATGGATGAAGATCTTGATATGGTTGATCAATGTAACCGTGGTGGGTGCGGGATAACGTATTGCTGGTCAAGAACTCCGAGGTTTAAGGGATCCGAGAATTCTTCCAACGCAGAAGATTATCCTTTGTTGTCGGGAAACACGGATGAATCTCCGTTATTCAGGAACAAGCTCCGGAAACGTGGAAGCAACGAGTTAACTCCCTGTCTGGAAATGCCGAGGAGCTTGAGTCAGAAGTTCAGACCAAAGTCGTTCGATGAATTGGTAGGACAGGAAGTTGTAGTGAAATGTCTCTTAAGCTCGATTTTCCGAGGTAGAATCACTTCGGTTTATCTTTTTCACGGCCCTCGGGGCACTGGGAAAACATCTGCTTGCAGGATTTTTGCCGCTGCTTTGAACTGTATCTCGCCTTCCGATCATAGCAGGCCGTGCGGTTCGTGCCGAGAATGCGATTTGTTCTTCTTGGGGAGGAGCAGGGACATGAAGGAAATGGATTCGGTTAAACTAAACCGGCCCGATCATCTCAGATCTCTCATCAAAAGTCTGCATCGTCCTCCGGTTTCATCAAGATTCAAGATTTTCGTTATAGATGAGTGTCAAATCTTGTGCCAAGAAACATGGGCAACTCTCTTCAACAGTTTGGACGGCTTTTCTCGGCATGTGATCTTCATTCTCGTCACCTCGGAGTTGGAAAAGCTGCCTCGGAACGTTGTCTCTCGGTCTCAGAAGTACCATTTCCCGAAAGTGAAAGACGCTGACATATCGAACAAGCTGGAGAAGATCTGTCTCGAGGAGGGTATCGATTTTGATAAGGCTGCACTCGATTTCGTTGCCTCGAAATCCGATGGTTCGCTTAGAGATGCCGAGATTATGCTCGATCAGCTCAGTTTGCTCAGTAAAAGAATCACGACTTCCTCGGCCTATGAGCTCGTGAGTTATATGCTTTTCTCTTCTCGTGATCACAACTTAAGGAAAAAAAAAGCAACCATCTTTGGTTTTTGGTTTTCCACTGCAGATTGGAGTTGTTTCCGATGATGAACTGCTTGATCTTCTCGATCTCGCCTTGTCTTCCGACACTTCAAACACGGTGATACGAGCAAGGGAGCTGATGAGATCGAAGATAGATCCAATGCACCTTATTTCTCAGCTCGCTAATCTCATCATGGACATCCTCGCTGAAAACTGCCCGGAAAGTAGCTCGGAAACCAGACAGCGGTTTCTTGCAAGGCATTCTTGTAAGAACCAGACATGAAACTGTCGACTTCCTTAGTTTGATCTTTGTTACATGTCCTAACGGTTTAGGATTTGTGTTTGCAGCCGAAGAAGAAAAGCAGAAACTGAGTCATGCCCTGAAGATACTTTCAGACGCCGAGAAGCATTTGAGAGCATCGAAAAACCAGACGACCTGGCTTACCGTCGCGCTTCTTCAGCTCAGCAACTCAGATTCATCTTCCATCACGACAAACGATTCTGGATCGTGTTTGGATCGCCAAAGAAGCAAAGGTTGGTCAAGGAAACGAAGTAGTGTTGCTCGTTTCGATACTTTTCCATTTACTCACGTCGTTGCGAACGGTGTCTAGATGCCGATTTCTGTTGCAGTGCATCTTCGGAAGGCGAATGTCTGAAGCGACTTTCTCTGTGTCACTGCGAGAAATCGCAAACGGAAGATCGGATAGATAACCACGAAGCTACTCTGGAATCTGCGTGGAAAAGGGTGACGGAGTTATGCTGTTCCGATTCGTTGAAGAGTTTTCTGTGGAAACGAGGGAAGTTAACTTCGCTTACCGTTGAGAAAGGTATCTAAGTGTTGAGTTTTCGCCAATTCCGTTAGATGTTATGTCGGTTGTTCAGTCTTTTCGAATATATTTTGTGCTAAGGGATCCGAATTTTCAGGTATGGCAGTAGCTGAGATGGAATTCTACGCCCCTCGACATGTATCAAGAGCGGAGAAATCGTGGAAAGTGATTGCGGAGTCGTTCCAATCGGTGTTGGGATGTAAGAAAGTCGAGATCCGTATAAACCTCGGCGTCGCATCCGCGCCAAAGAGTGCGAGAACGGGCAATCTTCTGTTTGGAATTTTCAGTTGCTCCCGTAGAATACCGCAGAACCAATCTCCGTCAGGTAGCAGCGACTGCGAGTACTCAGATTGTGCGTCCGAAAAAACGTCGAAAGCTCTGAGAAGTAGCGAAGGAAACGTGCTAAGCTTCGGGAGGACAACTTACACTCACATGGACGGTCACCAGGACATGGCAGAGAGCAAACATGGGTATGCCGGCCGGATATCTACAATCTAATATATATATACGTATATGTTTCCTGATCGATCTTATGTACTGAAATGGCGTATGGATCGAGCAAAACATCTTCAAGAAACGGTTTCTTGAATCTGTCGTTACGTTTTTTTTTTCCGCTGAATCGTTTGGCAGAGAAAGGGATGGATCCGAGGTGCTTCGTTGGAGGACTCCACAGAGAAAGGTGAGACGAAAAACGGGATCGAGGCTCGTCGATTCCGGGGGTTTATTTTACGAGGAAATTGATTTTCGGGTTCGGTTTCGGGTTTTGCAGGGACGGGGCGAAACGCTTCAGAACACGAGGTCGAGGCTGATCGGCCGAGTTCTTCCCTGCAGTGCCGCAACTTAGTCAGTCATTCGAGAAAGGCTTTCCGTTCCCTTTTTTTTTTTTTCATTTTGTGAAAATCTCTTATTATTTTTTGGACAAAGGGGGAAACAATGTATAGTTGCAACATTTCCAGTTTTTTTTTTTTTTTCTTAAAAACATCTGAAACTGTTACTTTCACTCAATTGGGACAAAATGAACGCTGAAGCAAATGTGATTGCTAAGCATTGTAATATAATGTCTCAAACTCCGCTAATTACGATCATTAGAAGGATAATGAAGGGGTTTGTTTATCTTCAAAGGTGCTTAATCTGTGAATCAGACCATAATTGTGACAGAGATTACTTTTGCATTATCCAAGTGGTGGTTTGTGTTCTTTATTTATTTTTATAAACCAAATCTGGACGTCCGGGATAGAAGCCTCTTTCTGATTCAGAGTCTTTGACTGAGGCAAGGACTTCTCATGGCTTGCTTTGGCCTTCCTAGTGTGTGCCAGTAGTACTTGACAATACGAAACGTAAGTGTTTACACGACCCAGGAGATACAACCGCCGATACATATGGCAATGGCAAGTGACCAAACCATGTGTATAGGTTTGGACAAGGGGGACGAGAGAATGTCGCACCAAAAAACTGCTCTGCCACTCGGGGAAGAAGTTTTGTCCACTTCAGGACAATATCAGCTCCAACACAGATTCTATCAAAGCTTCTGTTGGATGTGTTTCGCCATTGCAGAACATGATCATAAGCATCTTACGGTTTGGTCGGTTGGTTGGCTCATGCCCTCCAGCGGGAGTCTGCTTCCGGTCAGTCAGCTGCAAATCATGGCCACGGATTAATACAAGTTAACGGCTTTCTTTCTCACTGAGGCACGTGAAATAGATTAAAAAAGGAAGCCTACTTATTCGCTGCAGTCCTAGATGAATTCGAGTTGGAACTCCGAGTTCAAGACTGTAAGAGTAAAAAAAAAACGCCTTTGAAACAGTTTTGGTTCCTCCTACAAAAAGATCATATCATAACCTCTGTCTCAACTCAGTGGGGACAACATGGAACAAGCTCAATCAAAGTGAAGTTGTTCGAAAGAATGGACAGGGCAGATATTTAATAGCATATACCATAAAACAGGGGCTGTAAGGTGGGGCTACAACATTACACTAGTTGGTGAATGCGCAGTGTTACACACAGAAGAATTAAACAGGTGCTGTATCCACCACGCACTTCCATGATCAATACAGAACATGAAGAAGAACGGTAAAACATGGAAAGATACTGCAAAACATGCAGATTATAAATTTTTAACTCTCCTGTTCGCTTGAAAAAGATGCAAAAAATTAACAATCTGGTGAGACAACAAATGGGCTTACACGAAATACTTTTTCACTTGTTATACTCAACTAACCAGATTTATTCACGTACCTAAAAGGCGATATTGACATTGACAAGAGATGGAGAGTGCCTCAACAATGCAATGAGCTGCAGAGAAGATGCTTTTCCCAAACCATTATGATCATCGATTCTCAGTACCTCAGGAACAGCTGCAATGTGAATAACCAAACATTTTTAGCAGATCGAATCATACAATTTCACATGCAGTATAAAGAAAACTAGAAGTGACAAACTATACCCCTGACAAGACAAACTCCTGGCAATGCAATGGGTATTCCCAGGAACTCGGTAAAAGTGTGGCTTAGATATATCCATCCGCTGTTGCTCACTGATAAAGATAACAGTAAGCATCTGAACTAACATCAAGCTTATTCTTGCTCTGCTAGAACCTTTATCGCATAATGGACTCCAGAAAAACATCTGAGAATTTGCCTAAATCGGAATAGCCCTCTCAATGGAGGTAGAAAGGTTCTTGGGAGCCAGAAAATTGCATTTTGTGAATCCACTTTGTGGTCATATTTCAGGAAACAGCAGAAAGAATCGCTATTGACTTTCCAGAATCCTGCCTAGCTTCCTGTTGAAGTTTATCTCTGTATAAAAAATCGGAAGTCATGTACATCAAGAAATCTAGGAAGAGACACCTTTCAGGCGTTCCTCCGGAAAAGCCACGACCTTTTTGCATACGTTGTTCTGCTACATACCCTATTCTGTATGAAACATCATCAAACTCGAATGAAATCGCATTCAGCCTCTGACCCCACATTAATGCCTTCTCTGGCATGCCATGAAAGCAGAACTGAGACAATAATGTATTCACGGTTGCAACATTTGGGATGAAGCCCATCTTGATCAACTTTGCGGTTACAACCATTGCTCTATCAAGTACGTCGGTGCAAACCCCATTTATCATGGTGTTATATGTTACTGTGTTGGGAATAATTCCAGCTGCAAGGAGCTCATCCAAGACCTTGACAGCTTGTTTCATTTTCCTGCTTCTGCAGTAACCATGGAGTCGAATATTATAGGTGAAGATATCTGGGTAGCACCCATAGGCACACATTTGATTTACAATGTTTTCAGCCATAGCCACATCGGATGCTTTACAATAACCATTCATCAAAGTATTGAATGTCACGGTATCAAAGCATAACCCCGACTGCTGCATGTTCTTGTATGTGGTAATAGCAGACTTCATTTTTTTCTGCTTACAGTACCCATCAATGATGATATTGACAGTATAACTGTCTGGGATGAGACCCTTTTGCCTCATCTCTCTCTCCAAGCTTAAAGCTTGATTTAGATTTCCTGATTTACAAAACCCACTGATAAGAGAGTTGTAGGTGAAGTTATTAGGGACAAAACCTCTCCGTGACATCTCTAAGAACATATCATATGCCTCCTCCATAAGTCCTTCTTTCGAAAGCCCATCTATTAAGGCAGAGAATGCAATGGTATCGGGGAACATTGCTCTTCCTTCCATCTCATTCCACAGGCTTTGAGCACCAGGTAAATCACCCACATTGAAATAGCCCTCCAAGAGAACTGTAAAAGCAACTTTGTTCACAGGGAAGCCCTTCTCCATCATCCTATTCAAAAGCTCACGAGCTTCCACCAGTCTCCCCTTCTTTGACAACCCCATTAGAAGAGCACAACACGTGGAAGACGAAGCTACAAAACCACACTTAACCATAATTTTATAGATTTCATGAGCTTTTTCTTCTAACCCTTCTCTACTATAAGCAGAGATGACAGAGTTAAAAGCAACTATGCCTGGTGATATCCCTCTCTCTAGTATATACTCCAGAAATTTAACAGCATCATCCAACATGCCTTTTGAACACAAACCTGCTACCCGAATTTCACATAATGTACCGTCGGAAGGCAAACCCGATGCCAACAAATCCTCCAGCAACCAATCGATATCCTCTTCGCTCCCGTATTTGCGATATCCTCCGACCAAAATATTAAAAGTTATACCATCAGGGGCCAAACCCTTTGCTTTCATTTCTTCGTACAGCATCTTTGCCTGACCAATATCCATAGCTTTAACATATCCGTTCATCAAAGTATTATACACAACAACATTTGGGGAAAGATCAGTCTCTTGGATTTGATTGAAAACATTCCTAGCCTCAACCATATTTCCTTCATTGCAGTACGCATTAATGAGCGTATTAAACGTGACTAGGTTTGGCTTACAACCCTCGTCATTCATCAAAGACATCAAACTAAGAGCATCCACAATCACACCGGAGCTACAGTACGCATGGACCAAGATATTATACGCGTAAACATCCGGTTGACACCCGAACTTCTGCATTACATGTAACAAACTCTCTCCTATCCTAAAACAATATTTCCTACAAAACCCAACAATCATCATGTTAAAAATGTAGTTAGAAGGATGAGGCCCTCTGCGAATCATATCACTCAGCAACTTCCATACACTACCATGATCACCGATCCTAAGCAGCAATTTGAAAAGCAAAACCATGGCTGACAAGCTTGGCCTTGCACCTACCTCCCTAATCCTTCGAACAATCTGCAAGGCCTCGTTACCCATTTCCAAATTCACAAATGCCCGCATCAGCGAATCCAGAACTGAAAAATCGGATTCGAATTGTTCATGATCGGTCCACATCAACTCCACCAACTCTTTACTCTTGTCAGTTCCCATTCTCCTGATCATTAACGTCACCACATCTTGAGCAAGGAAACGCAGGTTTTCTGCTGCTAGTAAATGTGCAACCATGGAACAAGACCTCAAAGTAGGCTCAGAGCAATTCCCGAATGCAAATTTAAAGAAGGCGAAAGCCCCTTTTCTGGTTTCAAGCTGTTTCATGATTTCTATGAGAAGATAAGGACTAAACTCATAGGAAAAAAGTTTCAGGATATAACAATGGCCGCGTTTGATTATTCTCGACAACCCCACTACAATCAAACGCCGTTCCCAAGGATCTAAGGAGGTCACAGATTCTAAATCGTCTCTTGAAAAAGGAGAAAACTGGTTCAGATACTCGAACCGTCTCTGATTCAAAGTGCTATATGAACAGCGAGAAGAGCAATAAGGGCTTAAACACCGAAGAAACTGAGAAAAACCCAGAAGAACTAGAGCTCTCGAGGAGCTCAAAGCATGGAGACATAGCGAGGACGTCAATGGATGCAAGCAATGCACATGGAGAGAGGCGGCGTGGGCAAGCCGCACACTTGCAGACATACGGGACCGGAGGAAGGATATACCGGCGAAGTTCCGGCGATAGAAATGCCGATCACTGCAGAAGACGAATAGGCGTCACGGGCTAACACCGGCATGATAATTTTCCGCTTGGTTGCCGAGAAAATTCGGAAGACATTATTAATTACGTCAAAAGGGTTTTTTGATTTTTCCTCGGTAGGTCTCTGCTTTCTCGGCAGCCAAACAGGGCAGAGATCGGGATAGGGTTCAAGGAAATTGAAATGGAGCGAGAGAGGATTGGAGAATTCTCATTGACTGAGCCCAAATGGGCATTGGAGAGATGTAATTTCCAGGCCCAGAATCTAAGAGACAGGATAAGATATATAAATATATATATATATATATATAATCCAAATTCGTTCATATTGATTCTTGAATTCAGAAGCTACATACATATACATATATATATATATATATGACAAGCCTAAGAGATTTTAAAAATGGAGATTAGTGAAAAAGGAAAAAAAATGGCGAAAGCATATCATAATCTATTAAAAGTTTTTAATCAATAAAAACGGCAATATACAAAGCTAAGATGATTGGTTATAAAAAAAAAGTAAAAGAATAGCAAGCAATTTTGAAATTATTGGAAAATGACATTATTAATCTCTGATTCATCAATCAATAAAAATTAGAGTCCCTTTACTTCAATTTTTTTTTGAATAACCGAGTAAACTAAAATTCAGATTAATCTCGGGACCGAAAGAAAGTCATCTCATTAGAATTACACTTTCTTCTCCGATTTGAAATTCGAATTCGGGAAGACAAAGACTTTATGTTACAATTTTAGCGGTTGAACCCAAATTGGATTCAAAATTTGAGTATCTCTAATGTAATTCGAGGTGTACCCCTTTAACAAAAAAAAAATTCGACCCACCTATTTGGTGATCATAATGGATAAGTGAAAATATCTGGTAGCATGGAAAGATAAAATATATATGATTCTAAAATATTATCAAGATTACCATAATATATATATTCACGTATTTTTTTAACGGAATAAGCATATGCAAGTTGTTATATAGCTGTCACGACATAAAATGGATATACATATATATATATATATTTCGTCAAACATTTTATATTCCAACATCTTGGTTCAACACTTCAACCAGCTTCATAGAAAAAAAAAGGTACCGTTGGAACATATATAAAACCCTAGATTGTAGATAGAACAATGCATGCAAAAGCGGCCATGAAATATCAAACTTGCTGCAACTTTCATGGCAGCTAATGCATCCATATCGGTGCTTCACCATCCCCCTCTTCAAACCCTAAACCCTAAAAAAAAAAAAAAACTTGACCACATCATAATATAACATCAACGCTAAAAACGACAAAACCTAACTCGGACTTTCACACGGCCGCTCATATGATCTCGACGTGAACCTCCCCGCCGGCAATTGAAGCGGCGGACGAGACCTGGTTCTGCTCTCCGACAACACGTGTCCCCACCCTGTTAAGCCACGTGGCAAAGACTAGAACGGCGTCGTACAAGCTAAGAGCCAAGTACAGACCCACGCCGGCGATAATCCCGTTGGCGATGGAATACGTCAAAGGCATGATCAAGATCGTGACAAAAGCCGGAACCGCCTCTTTGATGTCTCCCCATTTTATATCCTTCACCACTCCCATCATCATCACTCCCACCATCACCAGCGAGGGCCCCACCGCCCAGCGAGGAACGTTACTCACTAACGGCGTTAGAAAGACCGACGCCCCGAAACACACGCCCACTGTAACGGCCGTTAGCCCCGTCCGTCCACCTTCTCTCATCCCTGCCGAGGATTCAACGTAGGTAGCCGTCGTCGTCACTCCTAAGGCCGAACCCACGATCGAGGAGGTCGCGTCCACGACGAAGGCCGAGTATTCACCCTCGAACTTGCCCTTCTCGTTCACGAACCCGCCGAGCTCGGCCATCGTGTAGAGCACGCCGGTCGTGGCTAGGAGGTCTACGTAGAACAGCGTGGCGAACGCGATCCAGACCTCGGTTCCATTGAATTCGGAGAAACTTATCGATCCTAACGTGGATTCGATCTTGGGGAAGTCGACGATGTTCTTGAAATACTCGAAATTCGAATCTCCGAGTGGATTGCGGGGAAAGATCGTGACTTTAGTATCGCGAAACCACGAAACCGCCGTGATGAACAAGATACCGTAGATCATGCTCCCTTTTACGTTTTTCATCAGCCCGTAGCTCGTGACAAGGAATCCGACAAACCCTAGCCAGAAGGTGGGACTACCCATCTTGCCGTTAATACAAGCTCCGGTGATCGGGTCGGTGTCGGAACAAGCGGTCAACGACACGAGCGTTGACTTATCCGGACCGACTAGTCCCACGCCCTGATGGATCTGTAACCCGACAAAGGCAATGAACATGCCGATACCTGCGGCGGAAGCAAGCCTAACGGACTGAGGGATAAGGCGGGCGAGCTTGGACCGGAGCCCCAAGGCCGATACTGCTAAGAAGAGGCAGCCCTCGAGCAGGACGATGGCCATGGCGGTGCGGTATGAAACGTTACCAGAGCCGCGAAAGCCGATAACGTTGTAAGCGAGGTAAGCGTTAGGACCCATGGCAGGAGCCAGACCGAAAGGAAGATTCGCGAAGAGTCCCATCGCGAACGAACCCACCATTGCCGATAAGGCCGTGGCCACGACGAGGTCCTTTTTCAGGCTTGCGAGGCATTTTTCGTAACCTAGACATGAACCAAAACATTAGACGTTAAATTAATGTCGATTCTGTACAGTGATAGTCGCATCCGTTTTAATATAATAATGCATGCATTATCCAACAAGAAATATAATAATGCATAATGATCCTATTTTGACTGTTTTTCTTTGTAACAGTTAGAATTTAGAAATGATTCAAAGTTGGTATTTTTCAAAATGAAAAACTTTATAACTATAGATTATTTTAGAAAATTAGTGGCTATATATAGCGTTATTTTGTAAGTTTGTTCATCCACCATTCTTTGCCTTGTTCACACACACACACACATATATATATATATAAGAACGTGCCTGGATTGGAGCCGAAGACGCAGTGCGGAAGAGGTGGGGCCCGGGAGGAGGTGGAGCAGTGGTGGAAGGAGCAGTTGCCGCCGGAGTCGGAGAGGATGGTGGAGTTGACGGAGATGATGTAAGCCATTGTCAGGAAAGTGGCGGCGGCTGCTCTCATTTCTCCGGTGAAAGTCGCCTTTCTCTCTTCCAGCTTGAAGAATCTGCCCACCGCGCTCTTCCCCACCGCCTCGTTTATGCGTTTCTTCATCATCATTCCCCTCTCCCCCTTCTCTTCTCTCCCCATCTCTCTCTCTCTCTCTCTCTCTCTATACGTTTGAATTGGGGCTTTGGAGAAGAGGAACAAGAAAAACGAGGGGAAGTGGATAAAATCATGAGGATGTGAGATTGAAATGTATATATATATGCATGCGAAAATATTCTCTCTCTCTCTATATATATATTGTATACTTTGTATGTGTTTCATGGGGAAATACAAAAGGGAAACAATCGAAACCAGCGTTACATGTAATATATTATCTAACTGCTATGTTCTTTTTATTTACTTTTTGCACAAGAAAATCACATGTTTGACCGGATTAAGGGTACCCATCTTCTAAATCTGTCAATATATGTTATTACATGACACGTTTTATTAGTTATGCCAAATTTATAGTTACAAAGGATAAACTACATAATTTAAATTAAAGCCAATTTTTAGCAATTTTTTTTATTACCGGAAGTTTATCGTACTTTTGGTCCGACTATATTTTTCAAAAGATCGGAAAAGTTCATGTAAATATACCTCACCAAATAAGAACTTAAATCCCGGTTGAAAAAAAAAACTTTACTCCTTTTTTTTACGATTGAGCCACCAAATCTTGGATAGTAAAATTAGTTTAAACATCCGATTTTTATACTTATTAACATTCATCATTCACATAATAGCAATCAACGCAAATTTAGGAATGTGAATATTGACTATTAAATCAATTAAAAATATTTATAATAAAAAATTCAAATACTCAGAGTTAATATTCAACTACTAAATTAAATTATAACTACAAATTTAAAAACTTAAATCATATATATTAAAAATGTCACTAAAATCTATTGAGATCGAGGCGAAAGCAGAGTAATAATTCATCCACATGGTTTTGGTTTTCTTCTAAAACTTTACTTCGTCCTCGCTTCTCGTGAGATTCCATCTTTAATTAATTTCATTTCCATACATTAATAATAAAAATGAATTTGGAAATATGTATATTTATTATAACTTTGGATATTTTATATATAGTTAAAATCTCAATATAATGGAGCGCTTTTTCACATAGCAACATAAAATAAAATGAGGTTGGAATAATAATACGGTAACTATGTGGTATTGATGTAGTCATTGGCCAAACGATGAGACTATGGCGATAAGTGCCGATCCAAGATTCAATATTTGTTTTCTAAAGAAATATTTATTTGTTTGAATAAAATTTCTCACTATTTTTATATGTAATAACTCATTTATTTCTCCAAAAAATATTTATTGATATATATCCATATATAACAATTGCATATAATATAAAAAAAATCAAAATTTTAAATAAATATTTTAAATTTAATATACCATACATATATATATATCTCGATCTTTTAATATTTGTTTGTTAATATTTTCATTGATTTTTCGTCAATTTTTTTTTTGTCAATCTTTCAATCCAAATAATATTTATATTACATCTCTTATACTAGTAATCAGTTTATTTTATTGATTCTTTTAAAGGTTTTATTATATCTTTTGTGCTAAATTTATCTTGAGTGATAAATTCAAAAATCTATGTTGTGTCCTTTAAACTAGATTAACTTATATGATTTAAAGCATTATTTTTGTATATATTTATTGTTAATCAACAATAAGAAATGAGCCTAGAAAATTCACCAATCTTAGAAATTGGTTTAGTCTTCAAAATAAATAAACTTTCTGAGTATAAATTATAAAAATACTCTTCCATCGAATAAATTATGATATTTAATCTGGCGATTAAAATAACTACATTTGCATGCGCATATAAATACAATTTAAAAAAAATATTATTTCGGACAATATTTCAAGGCATTTCACAAGACCTGAAAAAGGTGAGGGTTACTCTTTTGAGAAAGGAATCATTTGGAAAGGGAGACTTCGAAATTGTATAATAAAATTAGAGAATGAATTTTAAAATGTATCTCAACTCATACAAGTTTATTCCATGGTTATGAATGGAGACAAAATATTTTATTAATTTATGGTTTTTTATATAATGTATAATTTTCATCTCCATGTGCTTTATTCCTCGTAGATTAGACCTAAATTCATTTTGCTTTATACCTAGTTCTATACATATACAATAGGATTACTTCGACAATTTCGGGTTTTGCTCCCTTTTTTATTCCGTTTATTTATTTATTTTTATTAAAATAATATTTAATTTTTAATTCATTATTTTTATATTTTTTTCTGATTCCGTTTCTATTTTGTAATATGATTTTAAAATTATATCCAAATAATTTTTAGTTTAATTTGGATATAGTTAACTATTGATTCGATTTCATTTTAATAGATATGACGCGTGTTATTGATAAAAATGGTTTGACAAAGGATAACAAAGGGGATTTCTTTCACACAAAAGAAAACAAAGGGAATTTCGTTATTATTTAGATTGGAATTTTCAAAAAATATTTCCATCCATCCATATATACGTATGTACGTGCATATATATATATAATATTACACACACATAAGAGTGCAAACTTTTGGTGGGGTTAAATTTTGGCATGTTTAGAAGCAATTTCCGAGGAGAATAAAAGAGGCTCGTGGAGACAAAAGGAGAAGAAGATCTCTGAATTTGTGATCTTTCTTTCTCCTCATCCATCATTTCACCTCCCCATGGCCATGGCCATGGCTCCTCCTCAAAAGCAACTCACAGAATCTTTGTTTATTTAGAATTTCAGACATAAAATATTTGGTGGGTTGGTAGCACATGCACTATATATATATATATATATATATATATATATATATATTTGAAACTATTATTTTCATCTCAAAAGAGAAGAAAGCAAACGGCCACTTTGGACTTTCATGCACATATATATATATATGGATGAGTTTATATCGAGAGAGTCAACATTTTTAGTGCGCATTTTAGAGAACATAAAGATAGGTTGTGAAATATTTTGTCCGAGTGAGTTGTATCGTTTTGAATTTAGAGCAATGAATGAATGAGTGTTCACCAATTGACTTCTGAGTCCGAAGATGTCGGCAATAAGACTAAAGTCCGTATCCTTTGAGAAAATTAGCCCCGAATCATTTAAAAATTGGGTTAATTAATCCCATAAAAATTACTGAACTTGTCTATGACTGGAAAATTAATTCCTAGACTTGCATGCTTCCATAAAAATTACTAAACTTGAAAAATATATCAATGGAATACCTAAACTTGTTAAAAACTGTCACAATAAATTTTGACCAACGATTGATATACACGGCGTTAAATGTGCATGACATAGCAGAAAATGTGTATTGCCACATCACAGAAAATAATTTTAAAATTCAATTTATTGAACCGGAATTAAATCGGACCAGTTTCAATCGGTTTTATTGAAAATAATAAAGGAATAATGCACAATAATAACTCATCCACTATTCTCTATTTCTTCTTCCCTTTCTTCCCCACTGTTAATGCAGGACCTCCATTTCTCCTCTTCTTACTATGTTCTCTTCCTCCTCTTTACGCATATATGAAACCCGATTTTCTTTTGGGTAAATGATGGGATCATCTGTTTCATCTTCTTTGTTCTGGATTATGTCCTTTTTTTCTTTTATCCTCGTAGTTCGTTTTAATGTTTTCCGTCAGTTTGATCTTTCTGATTAACAATCCATCAGAATTTTCATATTTTTGTTATGATTTTTTCCTCTTTGAATTTGTTATGGTTTTCTAGATCTGGGGTTGATTTCAAAATTTTCCAGATTCACTGTTGTTCTGAAACTAATTAATGTCAACATTTTGTTTCTATGGGTTTCTCTCTATTTGGATTTTTTTTTGTTTTGTTTCTGTTGATGACTACACTCTATCCTGGATCTTCTTTTAAAGAGAATAAGAATTTGGATTATGAGCACCAGAGATCTAAAACCCTCGGAAAAGTTCTATTGTTTTGATTTCATACGTTGATGACTGTAAATTCAAATTTCCGAAGAGAATGCAGTCAAATTTCCGAAGAGAATCAAAAAATTCCTACAACTTGAAACATATAGATCTATGGAGTTGACTACTGGGTAATGTTTATAATCGCGATTGAGATAAAAAAAATGAAAAGAGAAGAAATTAAAAAAAAAAACAATTGAACCGGATCAGTTTAATATCGGTCTAACCAATCGAACTTTAAAATTATTTTATCGACGTGGCAAAAATTATGATGTGGCAATACACATGTACTGCCATGTCATCCACATTTAACGCCGTGTAGTCAACAATTGGTCAAAATTTATTGTGACAGTTTTTAGCAAGTTTAGGTATTCCGTTGACATATTTTTCAAGTTTAGTAATTTTCATGGAAGCATGCAAGTCTAGGAATTAATTTTCTAGTCATAGACAAGTTCAGTAATTTTTATGGGATTAATCCTTTAAAAATTAATCCAATTTAGAGGAAAAAAGAAAACATTTTTAATTTAGGTGTTTGATTGGGAGTTTTGGTTATAAATTAGGCTGTACAATTGCCTAATTTAGACATAAAAATAGAAAAAATTATAGATTTTATACTTCAAAATTTACAAGAATGCAGTAATCGTTTTTTTTATCATATATATATATATTGATTATATTGGTGGATTAACTTTTTTTCAAAGTAAATTATATCATATTCATTGAATATGTTATGTTATTCATCTACTTTAACACTTTTCAAAGACCAGCAATAAGTAATATGGGTTTGTTGTTTTGTAAATTTGATGTTTACTTACCACTAAAAGAAAGTTCGGTGGCATTCCAATTTGTTTCTTGCTTTGCTCAAAATAAATATTCCATTTTTCTTTATTTATTATTTTTTCTTCACTTTATTTATTTATTCAAAATAAGTAGATCTCTATATCCGCTATTAAAAATAAATATTTTTCATAAATGGTGCATTAAAAGAATTGTTTATGTAGTGGATTATCGACCGATCCCTCACCGTAACCTCTCCGATCTACACTCGTGTGAACAGAACGAAAGAACGCAAGAGACAACCGGGATACGAGTTCAGCAACCGAGATAAAATCTCGGTGCCTACGTCTCGGGAAGAGGAAGCCGCGTTTAGTAGCTAGGGTTACAACCGACCGGAACCACCGGACACCGCCGGAACGGCGCCGGAGACCACGAGCTATGCTCGCCGGACGAGAGAGAGTCTCTCCGCCGAAAAGACGAAGAACCGAAACCTAATCCGTTCGAAT